TTTTATACAAAAGAACTGCGTTACCTACATTTATGTCTTGACCTTTCCTTTTCTCCTACTATCTCCTAGAATGCAGGCCCATTTCCTTCTAATCTCTGAATCTCTCTCAAAGACCATCATGGACAAAACATTGATACGTATTAAATGCTTCCTGGAACCGTGTCTGAATTCTCTCCCTATTCATTGCATTTGACTTATGATATAAAAAGCCACATGCAGTTTAAAGAGTGAACACTTCTTACCACTGCGGGAGGGAAGGCAGCCTGAATGCGAGAATGCACAGGCCAAGGCCAAGCTGCTCTGGTGCCTGGGGAGCCAGCACGGGCCCCCCTCACTTCCTGGCCGGCCCCTTCCCACGGCCCCCTCCCGGTGACCTGCTGCCGCTGCTCTCTCTGGGGCGGGAAACACAGGAAGCACCCTCCTCAGCAGCCCCTAGGATACTGCATGCCTCAGGGCTCCTTTTTCGGCCTGCTAATTCTAGGCTACATTAAGCAGGGCTGAACAGGTCAACAAAATGAGGAAGTCTAGGGATTTTTAAAGCCAATGCACAGTGGTGATTAGTGGTCTATTTGATTGACTATAATAACAAAACTCCAAAAAGCCCCTCTACACCCCTTTCTTCCCCGGCGTGGCACCAAGCACCGCAGGGCAACTCAGAGTCTGACCAAACCTCCTCCGCGTCGGGGTTTCCAGGGTAGAACTCCATGATGCACCCCAGCAAAGAGTACGACCCACAGGCACATCTCCCAGGTGTCGCTGGGCATTTGCCTTCTTGTTTTAATGTATCCCCACCCTCCCTGAATTAAAACCAATTCGGAGCCCAGGAAAACACCTGCTGCCATCCATTTTGCTCAGCCAGTGCATCTGACAGGGCTGACAAGAAGCAAAGTTACCTGAAATGTCCTTTGCTACGCTTTGTTGATAAGAGATGGTCAAATATTCCTAAAACAGCATGCAGTCAATAACTGGCATCCCAAACCTGAGCTGCCTGGAAATTCTGGCCACAAGGACTCAAGCGAGGAGTATCATTTCTCTTCTCCTTAGGAGGCTGAGGGGAGGAGGGTGCCTGGCTGGCTCAGTTGGTGGAGCGTGTGATTCTTGATCTTGGGGTTCTGAGTTCAAGCCCCACATTGGGTGTAGAGATTATTTAAAAATAAAATAAAATAAATCTTTAAAAAAAACTCCAACAAGGCTGAGGGGACCCCCAGGCTGAAGCCATCTCTGGGCCACTAGCTGTGCTGCCCAGCGGCCACCCCTCGCTAGTCACCCCACCTTCTCTCGGGCGCGCCGACAAGGCCATCAGTCATTATAGCTGGCCCAGCTGACCGAGCTCACCTAAACCAGCAGCCATAAATAAATGCCCTTTGCTGAAAAATGTGTCAGGTGAGGCTCAGCAACCAAATGAGTGATGTCTGCATTGCAAACCTTCCACTTCCACTGGAGGCTGACCTTCACCTGGTCCCACGTCCACCTGGAAAGTCAGCCGGGCATCCGCATCACTGGCAATGACAGCTTAGCACCTGCCGCTTGCCTGACGCTTTAGGAAGCGCTCCCACACGCATTGTCTTACTTGTGCCTCAGCTCAGCTCTGTGGGGGGGGGGGGGGGGGGCGTGCCAGACCCATTTTACAGATAAAGAAACCGAGACCCAGTGAGGAGAAGGACTGGTTCCAAATCCAAGTCCTCTGGCTCCGACACCCTTGCTGCCCCTCCTCTGAGCGCCTGCCTCAGCAAGTCCGCTCCAGGAACCCTTGGAGGTCGCGTCCTGGCCCTCTGAGGCTAACGCGCTCTCATTACACCCTCTGCAGAGCTGAGCAAGAGGGTTTTTTTTCATCCTTCGCAGGCTTGCTGCTGCCACCCAGAGGGAGAGGAGAACTAGCCACGAGACAGATGTGGCTGTGTGGGGCTCAGATAGGACCAGGTACTCTGTCCCAACAGGAGGAAAGAGGCTGCGGGGGGTGGGGGGGGTGGGGGGGAGGCAGGGAGAGAGGAAAAGGGGAAGAGGAGAGAGGAGGAAACAGAAGATCTGCAGCACACTCTGGAGGAGACGCGAGTAAAAGTGGGAGGAGAAAACCCCAATCAGCAGCAGAGGCTGGGAACCATCCCCAGCAACGTCTCGTCCCTGGGTCCCGAGGCTCCTCCCAGGGAGGCAGGATGACGACAGACCGACCACTCGCTGTTGGAGGGTCGGGCCCAGCCTCTGCGCACACAGACGGACTTTCCCCTGAGTGGAGCAGTGCTGGAAGGATGGACGGCCGAACCCGGCAGCCAGGTCACCGTGGGCACATGGGGGCAACGCTACCCATAGTACCAGCCTCGAGGGGCGGCAGTGCCCGGGAAAGAGCCGACGCCGTGAGGATCAAGGACGGTGAAGTAAGAGCCTTGGTCTGGGACTTGGATTCTTTCTGAAAGAGACCCAAGTTCACTAGTTTGTTCACGTACTCTTGGGAAAGATGGGAGGATTATAAACGAATAAGGTTAATTACTAAATCTCATAAAATCCTCAGGGAGGACAACTACAAAGCTGAATGCATCGAAGTACATTTCTAAAGAAAAAGATGTGCTTTATCAATTCCCATCTCTTATTGCGAAGCTCTTCTACAGCCCATTTTCTTAATCCTTGCAAATCAGTCAAACCCCGTCCGTGATACCCTTCCAGATACATATTTTTAAAGTGCAGAGGGGCGCCTGGGTGGCTCAGTCGGTTAAGCATGTGACTCTTGGTTTTGGCTCAGGTCATGATCTCAGGGTTGTGAGATCGAGCCCCGTGTTGGGTTCTCTGCTGAGCATGGAGCCTGCTTAAGATTTTCTCCCTCCCTCTCCCTCTGCCCCTCCCTGCCACTCTCTCTCTCTCTCTCTCTCTCCCCCAACTTAAAAAATAAATAAAAATAAAAATAATTTAAAAAATTAAGTACAGAAAAGCAAAAAGGAGCAAACACATCAGAAGATGGGATGTGGGAAGCCACTGGTGCTTAGGGACAGCAGCTACCTCCAGGTGCCCCCACCTACTCCACAGAGATCCTGGCTGTGCACGTCCATTGACAATGACGCAGGCGGGGCTCCTGGGCCCCGAGAGACCCACTGCTCTAAGTCAGGCGGCCTGGCAGCACTGGACAGGCCCAAGCCTCCTGCTGCTCGCTCTCCTTTCATCCACAGCTTATGGTCCCCGAACTGGCCTTCACCTCCATCTACCCCAAAGTGATCTCTCATTACTGCTGCAAAGGACATTGCAGCTGGCGAGGACCCTCTAGAGAAGCTGGCCAACCCTATCACTGGTCTCCGGAGCCCAAAGAGAAGAGCGAGGAGACAAGAAAGGAGGAGAAAAGGCTTCAAAGTTAAGCAGTCTCTTCACTTTGGCCACATCAATGGGAATCTCCTTGCACTTGGGTGAAATAAAAAGAGAAATGAGCCGGTAAGCAATTCCTGGCATGTAATCCATCTTCTAGGACAAACCTCTCATCATTATTATTTTTTAGTTGGATTCCAGTGGGCAGCCAGCATTTCAGGGCAGGAGGTCAGAGCCCAAGAGGACTAGCTTCTTCCTCTTCAGTGAGTAGGCTTCAGATGAAAATAAATTATCCAGCCCACCTTTACCAATCTTACACAAAACGTTTTCAATAGAAGGTATTGGTTCGGCACCCCTGAGAGCCCCAAGGGAATGCACTCCTGCCTCTGGACTTGCATATGGGAGTCAACCACATACACTTACAGGTCAGAGGGAGAGAGAGCAAGGTTGGGGGTCCTCTGTGATGATCACCATTTATTGTTAAAAGGGAGAAGAAACAAATCACTCAAAAAAATATTCCATGTTCGCTCCCTTGTCCCTCTATTAATAGCATCATAGGAAAGAGAACTAAAAATTCAGCTTAGAGGGCATGCACTGTTGCTCAGATGATCTCAATCAGTGGCAGATGAGATCAAACTCGAAAGCATCTTCCTGGCCACCAAGGCCTCAAGCCAGTCCAAACCTTGGGGTGTTATTGTGGCCTTTCACACACCATGCTGATCTGAACCAATGGTCTTTGGAGCCAAGCAGGTCTTCTCCACCAACAATTTAATGGGATTTGGAGAAATAAGCATTTGTAGGCAACAAATGAGAAATGTTTGCATGTGGCTCTGAGCCAGCGAACAGAAGAAATGCCACTCCCATGAGCTACGCCCCAAGGTTTGAAGCTCTTGAAAATGAAGAGGGAGGAACTCCACCGTTCATTTATCCAAAGGCTGGGACTCGTGTCCCCTTTGTGGTTCTAAGTGCTATTTGGCTATTCCTAGAGGAAGGGGAACAAGCCTACGCGGAGCTACAGAGAAGCCAGATACCTACGGTGGGTCTTCATGCACATCTATCCTGCAGCACAAGGTCAAAACAAGGGACAGCTGAAGAGATTTGGAACAGAATCATCACCTTCCTCATTAAGAGCAACACAAAAAGGAAAACAAACGTCAAATGTACTGGAAAGTTATCCCTCACGTTCACGTCAGTAAACTTTCCTAAATCCTTTGCAAAGGCAGCTCAAGTGGAAAATGTGCCCGTGTGATGTCAGAGCCACACTCACTTTCCTAAAAACTGTTGGGGATTTGGCAGACCCAATTCTTGGAACTGAGAAGCCACTCAGGAGATGACCCTGTGTGCTGGGATTTCCACGTCATTGACTCGTCCCCCAACGGAAGGGGCTGGTCTGTGCGGTACCGCTGCCGAGGAGGAGGGGTGGCAGAAAGCTCGCTCCCAGCAGACCCACCCGCTGGCCTGGGGCTTCGAACCTGTGACTCCTCCTCACAAAGGAGCCCTCCTTCCTCCCTTCTCCCACCTTCAGACCTCATGGCAAAGGGAGAGAGCCGGGGGAGAAGAGACAAAAGAGCCTACATTCATGATTTTAAAAAACTCTTCCAATCGTAGTTCATGTTCAAAATTGCTTTCATATGATAGCTGAACCGGAGACAGCATGGTGAGGCTTTCTATTTTCCTTCTTTAGGAACCTGAGTTAAAAAACGAAGAAGGCTTACCCATTTTTGAAATAGAGGACATGGGCTCTCTGAAGTCCTGTTTCTAGGAAAAAACCTAGTTCTTGATCGTGGGGAGCAGGGCCAGGCTTAGGGCTTCTGTTTTGAATATTGGTAAGTATTACCTGGAAGGGGAGAAAATCGGAAAACTAATCAGATCCATATCCAAGCCTAGTCCCTTCAAACCGCATCTCTACACGCGCTGCACAACAACCTGACAAACCAGCTTCCTCGCGCCAATACGGGTGCACAGGGACCGGTGCAGGAGTGAGCACAAAAATTAGGACAGCTGAGGGAATGACGTCTCTGAGCCAGGGCATGCGTGGCTCTCCTGGCACTGAAGGGTGCTGAGGGGTGCCCGGTGCCAGGCGGAGCACTGAGGCGGAGGGGCTCTGCTGGGTGCCAGAATGTTGACAGAGAGTCTGAGTGAGACAGAAACAGGTCCCGGCAACAGGCCGGAAAAGTCATCATCCACCAATGGCAGAGATCACGGACAGGCTGACGGCAGCTCCAGCCCTACATAAGCTCGATGAACTCCAAAGAAAGCTGAGCCGAGAAGCGCTGTGATTGGCATTGGCCCCGAAATTACCCAGGGAGGGTGAACTCTCGAGGCTTCAAAGCCAAGGCCTATGGACTCTCAAGGGGAGCTCGGAGAAAAACAAACAAAGCTCTCTCTCTCCCAAAACTTGATCTTTTGTCAACAGACAATGAGCTTTTAAAGGTCTAAATTTTTAGCCCCACAAGAAAGACTGCCAACTAATCAGGAGCAAGACCTTCAAGTCGAGTGGGTTATAGTGAAGGGTAAACACACACCTACTATTAGAGAAGCTACCCGCTTTAAACTGGCAAGTCAAACAAAGCATTTATCAAACAGAAGCCACTTGCGGCCCATTTAAAAACCCTACAAGTGTTCTCCAAACATGCTGTCCACATCTGTGGAAAGTCAGCAGCCCTTCAGAGACCCAGCCGTAAGCCAAAGCCCAAACGTTCTAGAGGTCTCAGAATTATTCTCCGTATGGAGTGGAAGCAATTCCTGCTTCTCTAACTTTCGCGCTTCGGGAAACAGCAAAGACAAGTGCACAATGAACAGATGTTGTGGGATGAAATCCAGGTGGGCAACCCTTGCATTTGAACTACATCCCAGCATCTTATCAAAACTGCCTGGCTCCTTCCCGACTTAGCACTTGGCTCTGTGAGTGCTAAGAGGTAGGTGTTCCTCCTACCCCTGCGAACTGTCATTTTTGGCTCGACTGCAGGCTCCTCCCCAATGCATCCTCCAAGCGCTGCACATGCAAAGAGCGCGGGCTCTTGTAAGTCCCTCTTACAAGAGGGTGAGCTCACCCATTCCTCTGAGCTTCAGAAATCATCTCTATGTTGCCAACTCCCAAAGTTATCCTCTCTACTGCAGACCTGCCCTCCGAACACTAGACTCATATATTCAACTACTTCCTTGACATCTCTACTTGGAGGCCCAACACTTAAACTTTTAAAATATTAGCCTTCATTGGCTTTCAAGCATAGCTTTTAATTTTTAAAAATGCTGTGATTACTTTAAAGCAAAACCAATTCAGTACAGCACACAAAGAAAATAAAAAATCATCTCAAAATTCCACCACACAGAAACAACCAGTTAACATTTATTGAACAATAACCCAGGTATCCCTATACATACGTATCAAGGAAAGAAAGATAAAAATCATTTTCCAAAAACTGAGATTGTGTTATGTATGCCAGTTTTAAATGTAAACCGTTACATTTAATTTAATTTTAATTAAATTTAACAGGAGAAACTAAAATGTGACCAAAGTAATTACTCAACTTCAGAAGAAAATGTGGTTTTTTACACATAGTCATTAAAGGTCTGGGCACTTGTCCTAAAGTTAAAAACAGATCTTATATTTATTATATGTATGTATGCATGTGCCCATGGAGAGAGTATATAGATACAGATGTATCTTAACAAATTAAGTCTTTTGCTCCATAAAAGTAGGATGTCTTCCCATTTATTTAGGTTTTCTTTAATTTCTTTCAACAGTGATTTGTAGTTTTCAGGGTTTAAGATTTGTACCTCTTTCTATTATTCCCATGTATTTTCATCTTTTTTTTAACATATATTATTTGTTTCAGAGGTACAGATCTGTGATTCAACAGTCTTGCACACTTCACAGCGCTCACCATAGCACATACCCTCCCCAGTGTCTATCACCCAGCCACCCCATCCCTCCCAATCCCCACCACTCCAGCAACCCTCAGTTTGTTTCCTGAGATTAAGAATTCCTCATATCAGAGAGGTATATTTTCATCTTTTCATGCTATTATAAATGGAATTGTTTTCATAATTTCATTCTCAGATTGTTAGTGTAGAGAAATAAAAGTGCAGTTTTTATATTGACCTTATATTCTATAACCTTGCTGAAATCACTTACTAGTTAAAATAGGGTCTGTATGTGTGAATTCCTTAGGATCTTCTGTATACAAGATCATGTCATCTGCAAACTGAGATAGTCTTACTTCTCCCTTTTCAACCTAGATGGCTTTTATTTCTTTATCTTGCCTAATTGTATTGCTAGAACTTCTACTACAATACAATAGAAGTAGTGAGAGCAGACATCCTTGTCTTAATCCTGATCTTAGGGGGGGAAATTCAGTCTTTCACCATTATATATATTTTAGATGTGGGTTTTTCATATGTGCCTTCTATCAGGTTGAAGGTGTGAACTTCTATTCCTATCACAAAACAGTGTTGGGTTTTGTCAAATGCTTTCTCTACATCTCGTGAAATTACCATTATCATGTGGATTTTGTCTTTTATTCTACTGATATATTACATTAATTGATTTTCACATGTTGAGTCAACTTGCATTCCTGAAATGAATCCTGCTCAGTCATGGTATATAATCCTTTCTATATGTTGTTGGACTCAGTTTGCTGGTATTTTGTTGTGGATATTTGCATCTATATTCATAAGAGATATTAGTCTCATAAAATGAGTTAGGGAATGTTTTCCTCCTCTTTTGTATTCTGGAAGTTTTTATAGTATTGCTATCATTTCTTCCTTTAATGTTTGGTAGAATTCACCAATAAAGTCAACTTGACCTGTAGTTTTCTTTCTGGGAAGGTTTTTAACTACAAATTCAATTTCTTTACTAGACACAAGAATATTTGGGTTATCTCCTTCTTCTTGAGTGAACTTCAGTAGTTTGTGTCTTTCAGGGAATCTTTTTTTTTTTTTTAAGTGATCACATTTACTGGCATAAAGTTGGTCATAATTTTCCCTTACCACCTTATTTTTTAAGTAATCCCTACACCCAACATGGGGCTCAAACTCACAACCCCAAGATCAAGAGTCACAGGCTCCACTGACTGAGCCAGCCAGGTGCCCCTTCCCTTGCAGCCTTTTAACGTTTATGAATCTATCGTACTGCCTCCTCTTCTTGGGTGTTGGTAATTTGTTTCTTCTCTCTTTTATTCTTGTTCAACCTTGTTAATAGTTTACAAATTTTATGGATCTTTTAAAAGAATCCATTTTAGTTTCACTGATTTTCTCTGTTTATCTCTTTTCTATTTCATTGATGTTTGTTCTGATCTTTATTATTCCTCCCTTTTGCTTGCTTTGGCTTTAATTTGTTCTTTTTCTAGTTTCTTGAATTGGAAATTTAGACCACTGATTTGAATTTTTTTTCCTTTCTAATATATATTTAATGTTACAAATTCTTCTATATATTTTGTTTTAGACAATTAGAAGCTCTATTATTAGCTACATACACTTTTAGAATTACAATGTCTTGTTGATTAATCGACCCCTTGGTTACGTAACATCTCCCTTTATCACCTGTAAACATTCCTTATTCTAAATTCTACTCTCTGATGTAATAGTCACCCTAGCTTTGTTTTGATTATTGTTTACATGGTATATAATTTTACTTTTTGCCTACCTATATATTAATTTTAAATGGCTTTCTTAGAGATAGCATATATTAGGACTTGCATTTTTATCCAATCTGAAAATTTCTTCCTTTTAATTGTTCAGACCATTTACATTTAATATAACTATTGGCATGACTGGAATCATCTTGCTTGTTGTTTTTTATTTTCCCATTTGTTCTTTGTTCCTTTTTTCTCTCATTCTGCTTTTTTGGATTGAAGATTCCATTTCATTTCCACTAATGAGTGGTTAATTATGTTTGTCTATCTGTCCATCCACCCATGCCCCGCCCCGCCACCCTCCCCACCTCTTGGCTGCCAAACGGTATACAGTGTAGCTCTTTGGCTTATCACAGTCTATGTTCAAACAAAATACACCAATTCGTATATAGTATAAACACTTTATAACAGTATGCTTACATTTCTTCCCCCATCTTCTGTGCTATGGTTGTCTTGCATCTTACTCCTATGTTATATATCCCACAATACAATGTTATTGTTGCTTTAGGTGGTCAATTATATTTTTTAAAAATCAAAAATAGAAAAAAGTCTTTTATATGTATGCTCATTGTCACCATTTATGACGATCTTCATTTCACTGTATGTATCTTTATTTTCTTCTGCTTAAACTTCTTTAACATTTCTTGTTATGCAGGTCTGTTGCATTCTTTTAACTTTTGTTTGTCCTATAAAATACAAAGTCTTTGTCTTCTTTCTTCAAAGGTGTTTTGAAATTTTTCATCCAGTACTTTAAAGGCATCTCTTTGATGTCTTCTTCTTTTTTTTTTTTTTAAAGATTTTATTTATTTATTTGAGAGAGAGAGAATGAGAGACAGAGAGCACAAGAGGGAAGAGGGTCAGAGGGAGAAGCAGACTCCCTGCTGAGCAAGGAGCCCCATGCGGGACTCGATCCCGGGACTCCAGGATCATGACCTGAGCTGAAGGCAGTCGCTTAACCAACTGAGCCACCCAGGCGCCCTTCTTTTTTTTTTTTATTAAAGATTTTATTTATTTATTTGACAGAGAGAGATACAGCGAGAGAGGGAACACAAGCAGGGGGAGTGGGAGAAGGAGAAGCAGGCTTCCCATGGAGCTGGGAGCCTGATGCAGGGCTTGATCCCAGGACCCTGGGATCATGACCTGAGCCGAAGGCAGACGCTTAACACTGAGCCACCCAGGCGCCCCTCTCTGATGCCTTCTA